GGGGTTTCATTGAGTTCTTTCCCTTTCTGCCTAAATCAGGGTGGGGTCTTGGGTTTCCTGCTGCAGTGCCACCTCAGTCCCTAGACCAGGAAAAGAAAATACAAACTTGTTATTTAAATCATACATCTATTAATTTCTATTATTGATTTGGTTAATACGTTTCTTAAAGAGTAAAAAGAAAGACGTTTGGCTTAAAGTCTCCTCCGCTCTCAGACTCTAAGGGCCCTGCTTGGCTTAACACTATTTCTGCTTAACAATGGACTGATGACCCTTATCAATAGCCAAAGGATCTGAATCACCAGTTTGGGACAATTATCAGGATTTGAGGGAGGGAGCCTTTTTCCAAAAGAAGGAAGGAAGAAAACTTAACTAGGTTTACTAAAAAGATTAACTCTGCAAGAGATGTCCCATTTCATTTCCTGCTAAAAGATTAAGAATTTTACAAGTGATGTCCTGTCTCAATGCCACTTTTAGAACTTTAAGAAATGCGTTGTTTTAAAGCCTTTATTTTTACCCTAAATAAATAGCCTTAAATGAAGATTAACTGTGGTAACATAGGAAAAGCTCTTAGAGCTTCTCTAGCCAGGCCCATAGTATGCACTTTGTTGATGCTGCTATTATTATTATTTCTGTGTAGCCTTGTGCCTGGCACCTAGAAGATGCTAGGTCAGTGGCAGTTCTGTTTACCGCCTCCTCCTCAGGGAGGTGGGAACCCAGCAAGGTGAAGAGAGTGGTAAGAGATGAGGCCAGATGGTTCACGGGCTCAGTTTAGACTTGAGAGGTGGCACTGGGGAGCCACGGAAGGATAATGGGTACTGTCAGAGAAGCGCTGCCATGTTCCTCTGGTCTGGCCTGGTCTGGGAGCAGAGTGATAAAGGGGTCTACCTCTAGTGATGGTGAAAGGATGAGAGGGGCTCAGAGAAACATGGGAGGCATTGCAAAGGACCCAGCCTACCTTGCCTTTGGGGGAGGAAGAGGAAGGAGCTGGAGCTCTGGGGTTTGTGGCCTGGAGGACTGAGAGACTCAGGGCTCATGCGCAGAACGGGGTTGTCAGAAGGGTCAGCAAGTCTAAGGGAATTCATCCTGGCCTCGGCCCTGGGTGAGCTGAGTTCAGAGGGCACAGTCCCTTTGTACGTGGCTTTCTTCCTCTCTGGCTGCCCAGGACAGAGGCTGGGGAGGACCCCACCCTGTGGAAAGGCTTGGCTCCAGGGAATTCCCAGCATGGCTCCTGGCCTTGAGTTACTGGCACTGAAGGCCACTGCGAGAACATGGTGGCATGGGGCCCTGTGGCCAGGTGTAACAGGGAGACAGTAACGTGGTGGTCCAGAGCATGGATTCTGGCCCAGACTTCCTGAGAAGAAGTGTGGTTTGCCACTTTGCTGAGCCTGTGATCCTGGACTGGCTTTCTCTGCACCTGGGTTTCCTTATTTGTAAAGCGGAGATGGTAATCATAACAGTATCCGCTTCATTAGACTGTGGTGAGGACTTAGTGAGCTGGTACATGCGAAGAGTTTCAAATAGTGCTTAGGGTATAGCAAATGCTCAATAAATGATGGCCATTAATATCATTAATATTTTTCAGGGCCACCAGGATGGAGAGAGGGAAGAAAAGTCTTCTACCTGGAGCTGGCCAGATGGTCCCAGGGAGCGGAGAAAGGTGGGAGGGTGAAGGCAAAGGTCTCATCTTCTCAGGTGCCCCAGAGCCAGGGGAGGCTGCACCATGTGATCCCTCCCCCTTCACCCACTCCTGCTGTCCCATCTACTGGAGGAGGCTCCCCATCCTCCGCCACCCCAGGTCAGGAGCATAGAGGCTGTGGCTCTGCAGCTGGGCCAGGCCTTGAGCTCACCTTGGGGGTCAAATGGGTCTGGGTACTCTTGGGTGACTCGTTCCCACCCTGAGCCTCACTCCCGCCTATATAAAATAGAGCTTAGTGAACCAACTCCTGGGGTGTTAGAAACCAGGGAAATTCCTGTTTCTAGCCCAACATCTCTCCTCAACCCAGCCAGCTTCCCAAGAAGCCCCACCGCCTCCGCCATGGCTCCTGGCCTTGAACAAAGGCACACTGGACTCCGTGTATGGTGGAGAATCTTTATTCAGCAATGGGGCTGCCTAAAGGGCCAAACTCTCTCCTAATTGCTTTGTGCCGGATCCAGCTGCTTTGGCCCTAGGAGGATGGCAATGACCACAGTGGTCAGGGCTCCTCCAGAGCTTGGATGGGGACAGGGGCTGTGAGGGCAGTGGGCTGGGGGTGGAGCAAGGAGTCCAGGGTGGGCTCAGGGCGCCTGGGTCCATCTCAGGTGCAGCCGGTGCACGCAACATTCACACACAGCTCACAGTCGTCATTGGCGATGGTCTCTGGGTAGGGGGAGAACATCGGTCAGCTGATCTGAACCTAAAACATCCGTGGTTCAAGGAGTTCCTGGCCTGGCAGCCAGAGAAGATCTGCTTAGGAGTGGGCCTGAGAGAGTGGCCTGCCATCTTTCTCACAAATTAAGAGTATGACATTTTAAAAGCAGAATGAGCAGCTTGGGTTTAAGTCCTAGGTCCTCTCCTTCCTCCCAGTGCCTAGGCAAGTCATTTAAAGTCTGCACCTGAGTTTTCCTGTCTCCTAAATAGACAGCATCAGCCTGACAGAGTAGTTGTGAGGTGAGAATGCGGGCAAAAGGACTGACACAGGGCTCCGCACTGAGTAGGTGCTCAATAAATGCTAGCTAGTCACCAAATTCTCCTGGCCAGCTCTGCTTCATCTGTCATGCTTCAGCTTAGATGTCACCCCTTGGGAGCCTTTCAGACTCCTTATGCCACCCTAGATGTGAGCCATTCCTCCTTCATGTACCCACTGTGCTCCCCCAATCATCTCACTGCATTACGGTCATTGCTTTTGGGTCCCTTTCCCAGGCCCCCTTCCCTCCCATCTGTGCAGTCTTTGAGGTAGGAGGCCCAACCAACCCAGGTTGCTGGGAGCTGAGGGGCTTCCTCACGCCTGACTTTTGGTGCCAAGACTGGGGAGGTGAGAGGCCGAGTTTCTTGATCACTGCTCAACACCTTCCCCGCAACCCTTCCTCGCAGCCACTAGGTACCTAAGAGAAGTAATGTGAAGCAGAGGAACCTGGATCTAAACTGAGGTGTGAGGAAGAAGAGAACAAGAGGCAGGAAGCTTCGCGAGGTGGCGGCACTCACTCAAGGCCTGGAAGGTGGTGGCAGCTTCCGTGGAGGTGCAGATGGGCTGCAGGTCCGGTGGTAGGGCCTGGTGGTAGCATGGGGTGGGCAGGACATTCTGGGCCTGCAGGTGGGGGCTGAATGCCAACTGCTTCTCCAGGTCATTCAGTTTCTTCACGGAATCCAGCTGGACCCGGAAGCCTTGGTACTGGTGGGGAAGAAGGAGGGTGTCAAAACCTGGACTGAGAGACCATGGTTCCTCAGACCCCACAAAATCTCCCCATTCTTAAGGGAAGTTTGGGCTACACCTGAAAGACAGCCTTGGAGGTGGGAGGTGGTATCTGACACTTCACATCCCTGTGTCACAGGCCCCCAGTAACTGGTAAACAAAGCTATGGAGCACAGTGGTTTATGGCATGGGCTTTGGAGACCCGCAGATCCCTGGTTCAAATCCCAGCTCTTCCTGACTAGCTACCTGTCGCCTCACCACTCTGAGCCTCATCTGACAGATGGAAGTTGACAAAATGATGGCAGTCACAACCTGGCCAGGCTCCAAGGCCAGGGGGAGGCTGAGGCTCTCTTACACCCCTTCCAGGGCCCCGCATGTTCCCTCTCAAGGAGGCCTTGCGCAGAGTCAGGAGTGTGAGACACCCAGAGCGACAGACTTCCCAGCCACGATGGAGAGGCCAGCAGCATGCTGTCGCACCACGGACAGGACCTGCTTCCATGACTCCTTCCAGCCTCACAGGTGCCCTGGAAGGCCACCTGGACTGCCTGCCGTCTTCTCTCTAGACTTTTCCTATGCTGCGCCCTCTGCCTGGAGTGGTCTGTGTCCTCTGTACCTGGCTACCTTCGGCTCACCCTGCAATGTCCACTTGAATTATCTGCCAAGGAAATGTCTTCTGGTGATTACCCCTCTGCACCCATACATGGGCAAACACAGAATACTGCGGGAGCAAAAAGTGGTGTCCCTCCCCTCCTGGGCATCTCAAGGACAGGGACCGCATCTTGTTCCACACCCTGACCTCGGACTGGGATTGGCCTTCAAGGAGAGCAATGCTGAATAACAGCAGTTTATTATGCTATTGTTAAACCATCAGCATAGCCATAGGCATGCCAGCTGACCCCCACCCCACCCCACCCCAACCAGCTATCTTAGTCCCTGGGCTATGATTAGGTGTTGGGCTGAGCCCTGGGCCCTGTGCTCCCATGTACCCCATGAATTTCCCGACGTCCCCTCACCATCTCAGCCTCCCACCGTGGGAATCTTCAGTCGAAGGGCATGCTGGCTGAAAGGACTCACCTGGATGTAGACTGACTGTGTGCTCTGCAGCAGCACCAGAAGGACCACAGCCACTCCGGACAGAAACCTTGACACAGTTCTGCCACCCATCTTGCTCCCTCGGCACCCCACGACTGCTGTCCACCCAGCTGCCACCCGCTTCCCTGGCTAGCAGCTCTTTATAGGCCAGGCTCCAGCACCCTGGTCACTCATTAACTGGCCAGCTGGGGTGGGGTTGACACTTGGCTGGCCCTGTGACGAGCCTGGAGAGTCCATTCCCAGGAAGGGGGTTGGGTGTGGTGAGGGCAGGGAGGCCCGGCACATGGGAACGTGTTACTCTGAGTCAAGCACCTGCTGTGCGTGGCTCTCTGTGGAAGGGCCTTAGACCACACCGCTTTTCCTCGCTCCTTAAGACACCCCTGGGAATGAAATGGTAGGGAGACCATTTTACAGACAGAGGAAGTGAGGCTTCAGAGGTAAAGTGATTCACCCCAGGTCACAGAGCTAGTCAGTGGGAGAGCAGGGACACAGGTCAGCCCATAGTTCTTCTCTGAGCAAAAGATGTAGACAGACCGGCTGGCCCACGGCAAGGTAAGTAGATGCAAGGCCCTCCGTGCCCTCAGCCCCACACCTCTCCAGCCCTCTCTCCCCAGTTATATTTAAGAAACCTCCTTCTGATCAGTCTGGTCCCAGGCCCTCAACCTGCCTCTGCCTGCATCTCCCACTGGTGGCTGGTTACCTTAGGCCATGTTTGTGGCCTAAAGTACCTTAGGCCATCTCACCTGTCTATGCCTTTTGTGGCCTTAGGTACCTTAGGCCATCTCACCTGTCTGTGCCTTTTAGGAGCCAGTAGCCTCACCCAGCATGGGGGAAAGAGCCTAGCCTTGGAGACAGATTGACCCAGGTTCAAAGCCTGGTCCTGATGCATTTGTGTGATCTTGGACAATTCGCCTCGACTTTGACTGAGTCTTAATTTCCTCTACATCGAATGGGCGAAATGATAGAATCCACCATATGAGATGAGTGATGGGGCCCACCTGACTCACCCTAGGCAATCCATAACCCACTGCCTCCATGGCTGAAGGTTGGGTCGGGGAGAAGAGGGCAAAGTCCACTAGGCGTTATCATCTCTGCCCTTCCAGGCAGCTGTAAACAGTGCCCACGGCAGGGCTCAGCTCCGTAGGCACAAAGCCCGGCACGCAGTAGGCATCCATGCATAACACTGAGTTGAAGCCCAGAAAGCCCACCTAGACAGGGAAGGGCCATTCTCCAACCTGTGCCTATAATGACTGATGTCATCACACTCCCACAGACCGACTCTACCCGCTTGTGCCTCATCTTATCTCACCTGTTCACTGATGCATTCCACCTGCCTGAAATGCTTTCACTGATGCATTCCGCCTGCCTGAAATGCTTTCACTGATGCATTCCGCCTGCCTGAAATGCTCATCTCCTTTCTTATCTTGGGATGAAATGAAAAAAAGCTGGGTGACCTTTGATATTACCTATGTCTTGTTTTGATTTCAGACTTCAGCCTTTACTCTTTAGCGTATGAAGAAATTAGTGGACATGCTTTCTCGTCTGTAAACTGAAGATAGTCATCAGTAACAACAATAGCTCTCATTTCCTGAACATAGTTCTTTTGTGCACTGTGTGCTAGATGGCATAATCCTGTTTAATCCTATAGGATTGTCTCCAATTTACAGATGAGTAAACCAAGGTCCAACAAGATCAAGCACCATGTTTAATATCAGTTTAAACGAAAAACAAAAAGCCTTTCAAAGTGAGAGGTAATAAGTATTTATCTGAGATCGAAGAGTAGCTGTTTGGGAGGCACTGATTCAGACAGGAGCTCAAGTAATGTTTCAACTCGGAGACAAAGGCAAGAGGTATTTACGAGAAAGGGAAGGGCAATTATTATACCAACAGAAGGAAGGCGTTTCTATTGGTGCAGATAATATAACATAACGATGTTAATTCTAAACGGTATTTTAAATTTTCAGTGTGGTACTCATAACATCTGCTTTCTTGTTATCTTTACAAACAGTTCTTTGGGGCACAATGTTGCTTTAAGCCCAGTCTGAAGGTTATTTTGCCATTTTAACATTCCAAAGGTTTGAGGCATAAGACATGCAAGGCAGTTCCTTTGGCATGGCAGCTCTGGCTCCATTTTAAAATGGCATTATTATTATTATATTTTATTTTTTTACAGTCACTGTGAGAATAAGAGGTGTGAGCAGCAGGTTTTATCTATGGAATTTGTGCCTCTGCTCAGCTGGTGGTGTTATAGAAAAAGCAACTCAGGCCTCGGCAGTAAGGCGATCTGGGTTTAAACCACTTTTCAGCTGTGTGTACATTACTTCGCCTCTCTGAGCCTCTGTTTCTCCATCAGTAAGTGGAAGAAACACTAACAACCTTATAATGGTTGATGTGAGGAAAACCTGAAAAATCTCGTCCCAAAGGAGCCTGTGACTGGTTGCCCTAGCATGTGCCTGGCATGCAGGGGCCATGCAGTGAATGGAGGTTTCCTTGCCGCTCCTTCTCCACGGACCCTCCCCTGACAAACCCCATCTCTGAAACTACAGTTCTGATCTTAGTCCCGCATAGCCTAAATACCACGACGTGCCATCTGTCCAGAGCTGGTTTGACCAACTGTGTGACCTTGGACAAGTGATACCACCTCTGTGATCTCAGGTTCTCATTTATAAAAAGATGATCGGTCTCCAGCTTTTGAGGTTGTCATGAGGCCCCTTGACTCACACATCTTGCTCTTTCCACCAGAGCAAGCTTAGCCCCATTGGCCCCACACCAAGCGACAAGGAACAAACCTGTAGGGTTCGGAGGCCCCTGTGGCCATGGTCTCCTTTCCTCCTGGGGCCTTCCAGTCCCTCTGGCCAGGGCCCATCACATGTCACTCTTCCCCTGGGAACAAGGTGTGATCTCCTTATTTACCTAACATGACTCAAATTCATATTTCAATTCATCTCCATCTAATCTCTTCATAAATGACCCACCATCCATCAAAACCACAGGTGCAAACCCTCACTGCTGCCCCTATTCAGTCAGTGTACACTAACATTTCTCAGGGTACTTCCTTCTTTAGGGACATGGGAAGTGACTGTGATGCCAGCCTGGACTCTGTTCTCTGTGTGAAAGCTTCAATCGGGGTGGCGACAATTGATCTGTGTGTGTGTTTGAGTTGTTCCTCTCTCCACACTGGGTTTCCTGTCCACACAGACCACTGCTATGGTGCCCCAGAGCACTCTGACCCCCAAATGACCATTTCCCCAAGAGCATTTGTCACAGCCAACCACTCCACCTTTCTTGGAATAAAGCACTTTCTCCACTTGGCGCCTGGGACGCATACACTCTGGATTTTCTGCTCATCTCATTGACCCATTTTTTTCAGTTTTCTTTGTTGGTTTTCTTTCTCTTTTTGACCTCTAGATCTTAGAATGCCCCAGGGGCTTCAGGGCTCAGGCCTAGAACCACTGTCTTCTGTCTACAGCCACCAAGACTAGTGACCTTATTCAGTCTCAAGGACTTTAATGCCATTGGTAGGAGCCTGTTCACTCCCAGGCCTGACCTCTCCCCTCAGCTCCTCATTTATCCAGCTCCTCAGCTTCTCCCATAACGGATGAGGACACTACCACTCACCCAGTTGCTTAGGCCAAAAATGCAGGAGTCATCCTTAATCCTTCTCTTTTTTCCATTTGCCAAGTTTAATTCATTAGCAAATCCAGTAGCTTTACCTTTAAAATATTTCTAGACTCTATCCACGTCTCACCATCTCTACTGCTATCCAGTCCAAGCTATCATCACTGACATTGTTCTAATGGATTATTGCAGTAGCCTTGTATTAGCCGGGATTCTCCTGAGAAGCAGAACCAAAAGGGGAGAGAGATAAATTCTTATTCTATTATCTATCTGTCTGTCTATCTATCTATCTATCTATCTATCTATCTATCTATCTATCTATCAATCATCCTCTATCATCTATCTAATCTATCTAGATTTATTTATTTGTTTGTTTATTTGAATTATAAACAGAATTTACTGTTCCTTTTTTTTTAACCTAGATTTATTTTAAGAAATTGGCTCATTTGATTGCTGGGGCTGGCAAATTCGAAATCTTGTAGGGCAGGTCGGCAGGCTGGAAGTTTAGATAAGAGTTGATGTTGCAATTTTGAGTCTAATGTTGCAGGAGAGGCCAGCAGGCCACATGCGCAGGCAAGATTTTAATGCTGCAGTCTTGAGGCAGAATTCTTTCTTCTTCAGGAAACTTTGGTCTTTATTTTTAAGACCTTCAAGTGTTTAGATGAAACCAGCCCACGTTATTCACTTAGTCTATTGATTTTAAATGTCAATCACATCTAAAATAATATCTTCACAGCAACATCTAGACTAGTGTTTTACCAAACAACTGGGCACCACAGATTGGCCAAGAGGATCTCCAAATAGATCTCTCTATGTCCACTCTTGCCCCTCTTCGGGCCTTTCTTCACACAGCAGCCCGAGATTTTATTAAAATCTAAGCCAGATCATTTTTCTTCTCTGCTCCAACCTAATGGCTTCCCATGTTACTCAGGGAAAAATCCAAAGGCTTCCACTGGTGTCCAAGCTCCCTGCGGTGCCCCTCCGTATCTTTGACATCGACTCCAAAATCTCTGTCTTTCATCTCTGGGTTCTAGCCACACTGGCTTCCTTGCTGTCACCCCAAAGTGCCAAAGATTGTTTATCTCAAGATCTGTTCTTCACCCACATACTTATATGGCTTACCTCCTACTTTATCCAGGTCTCTGTTCAAATGCCACTTCCCCAAAGACATCTTTCCTGACCATCCCCCCTCGAGAGCTTTCCCTATCACTTACGTCCTTAACTTGCTTTCTTATGGCACTTGTCACATATAAACATTTCCTTTCTTACATTTCTCTCTTTACTAGGATGTAAGCTCTATTAGAGTAAGGAATTTATCTATTTTATTTTCCTGAAACAATATCTGGCACAGAATTGGTGCTCAACAAGTATTTGATGAATTGAGTAAATGAATATGATTCAAATATCTACTCCAACAACCACTAATGTTTGACCCTGGATAATTTCCTACTTCCATCTCATCTAGCATCTTCCTGTCATATATAAGGGGCCTGGCACATGGTATTAA